GGCAAACACAACAAGGGATTGGACTATGAGCACATGATAAAAGCGAGAGCACACAAGGAGGGGTGAGGATAGGTAAGACACCTAAAAAACTAGCTAGCATTTGTTGCCCTTAACGCAGAGAAACTAAAGCAGATACCTTAAAGCAACTGAGGCCAATAGGAAAAGGGGACCAGGACTAGAGAAAAGGTAGATCAAAAAGAATTAACCTAGAAGGTAACACCCACGCACAGGAAATCAATGTGAGTCAATGCCCTGTATAGCTATCCTTATCTCAACCAGCAAAAACCCTTGTTCCTTCCTATTATTGCTTATACTCTCTCTACAACAAAATTAGAAATAAGGGCAAATAGTTTCTGCTGGGTATTGAGGGGGGGAGAGGGAGGGGGAGGGGTGGTAAGGGAGGGGTGGGGCAGGGGGAGAAATGACCAAGCCTTGTATGCATATGAATAATAAAAGAAAATGAAAAAAAAAAGAGATTGAAACGCGTGCTTTACGTTGTGATTATAAGCGGAAACACAAGAGGCCAATGAATAGCCAAGGCAATACTCAGTCAAAGAACAATGGCAGGAGGTATCCAATATCTGAGCTTCAAACTACATTACAAAGCCATAACAATAAAAACAGCATGGTACTGGCACAAACAGACACGAAGACCAGTGGACAGAATAGAGGACCCAGATATGAAGCCAACAAACTAAACCAACTTGTCTTTGACAAAGGAGGCTAAAAATATACGATGGAGAAATATGCAGCCTCTTTCAACAAAAACTGCTGGGAAAACTGGTTAGCAGTCTGCAAAAACTGAAACTAGAATGCCATGTATATCACCCTATACCAATATTAACTCAAAAATGATCAAGGATCTAATATCAGACCAACAAACTCTAAAAGTTGATACAGGAAAGAGTACGAAATACTTGGAGTTAGTAGATGTAGGTTAAGACTTTCTCCACGAAACCCCCAGCAGCACAGCAACTAAAGAGATAAGTATAGGTAAATGGGACTTTCATAAAACTAAAAAAAGCTTCTGTTCATCAAAAGAAATGGTCTCTAAACTGAAAGCCGATCAGAGGCACCTGCACACCCATGTTTATTGTGGCACTATTCACAATAGCCAAGTTATGGAAACAGCCAAGATGCCCCACCACTGACGAATGGATTAAGAAAATGTGGTATCTATACACAATGGAATTTTATGCAGCCATGAAGAAGAACAAAATGTTATCATTCGCTGGTAAATGGATGGAATTGGAGAACATCATTCTGAGTGAGGTTAGCCTGGCCCAAAGACCAAAAATCGTATGTTCTCCCTCATATGTGGACATTAGATCAAGGGCAAACACAACAAGGGATTGACTTAGCACATGATAAAAGCGAGAGCACACAAGGGAGGGGTGAGGATAGGTAAGACACCTAAAAAATTAGCATTTGTTGCCCTTAACGCAGAGAAACTAAAGCAGATACCTTAAAAGCAACTGAGGCCAATAGGAAAAGGGGACCAGGAACTAGAGAAAAGGTTAGATCAAAAAGAATTAACCTAGAAGGTAACACACGCACAGGAAATCAATGTGAGTCAACCCCTGTATAGCTATCCTTATCTCAACCAGCAAAAACCCTTGTTCCTTCCTATTATTGCTTATACTCTCTCTACAACAAAATTAGAAATAAGGGCAAAATAGTTTCTGCTGGGTATTGAGGGGGTGGGGGGAGAGGGAGGGGGCGGAGTGGGTGGTAAGGAGGGGGTGGGGGCAGGGGGAGAAATGAACCCAAGCCTTGTATGCACATATGAATAATAAAAAAAAAAAATTCAGATTCAAAATTCCTTTCAGGCGCACAACTTTGAATTCTTTAGGCTGCATTTGTAATTAGTTGAAAAAATCCAAAAGGGTTTTTTTTATAAGGTAGCAGGGCAGTATCTAAAATCACTGGTGGGGGGGGAAGTGGCTCAAACAATGTATACACATGTAAGTAAATGTAATGATAAGAAAGAAAATAATAAATAAAGGTAAATAAAATATATATATCCAGAAAATGAACTAAAAGAAGCACATTCAGTTAAATATCGATTTCTTTATAAATGTAAAGAAAAGTTGGTGCTTCCTATTTCAACTCAATTCTGTATCATGTGACTTTTAAAAATAAAACCACATATAATACGGAGCCATAGAATTAGCCAGATACTTACAGTAAAAAGCAACAGTTTTGTTTTTTTGCTGTAGGCAGCAAAAATAAAGGCAAAATCATAAAAACGTCAGCAATCAAACGGCAAACTAGTCGATAGTTTGTGTGGCAGTTTTGCTCACATTTATCATTTTGATCTAATAAGAACTTTACACATAAGATTAACATAGCTGAGCCTCAACTGATAAGTGTCAATCAAACTTGGCTGCATGTCACACATTACAAAACCTACAAATGTAAATGTAATGGTGTACGTAATTGAAAATCTGTTTTAAGTATTTTTTCCAAACACAAATGTTAACGTAACAACTCCACGAGGTAAAAGACGCTTTCACAAAGTTACATGTTTGGCGAAAATTAAAAATATAATTACGTAAGTTAATATCTAATGACATAGTTGTTCATTTTTCTTATTGATATGGGCAGCATGCTACAGTTGGGCGCATATCAGACCTTTCTCTAACAGATTTTTAAAAAGGCACCTTCAGTCCATTCAAAGTGTTTTCAATGAAATAACCTACACAAAACAGTTCTGAAAATTAGTTGGGCAGACTTTCTCTTAAGTCTGAAGTTCAGCTCGTGGGGCTGACAGTTTCTAAATTTTTAACAACTTCAAAGTTCTTTCCTTTGCTCCCGCTAGCTGAATCCTCACATTTATTTTTTCTCATCCTCTTCCAGGTAACAACCCCATTTTGTATTCCTCTCAACTCCACTTTCTACATATGTCCTCTGGCAATAAATAAAAGCATAAAAATATTCAAATGCCATAAATCATTTATGTCCTTTCTATAATGAAATAGCGTATTAAATGAGTATGCATATTAGTTTGTACTTTGTGAAAACACTTCTATGCCAGTGTAAGAAACACCACTTAGAACATATAAATCAGGCAGAAATAAGAATTCTATTCTACCACAATGTAAGAGACACCATGAAAGTTCTGAGAAACTTCTGAAAAAGGAGAGAGTGACTGTGCAGTAGAAGGATATGGGCCTTCCTAGAAAGGACGTGAGGTAACATCTGAGTTCAACACGATGAGTAAGAGGCTGGAAAGGAGGTTCAGTCCCACCAATGCTTTCGCCCTAGTAGGCAAGCATTTCTATTGCGTATCAGAACTGAATTCCAATTTGTATTTTTCCTATCTCTGTGATCCTTAGTGCTTGCCTTTTTACCTCAGGTAAATTAGTTAACTAACTTTATAATTAACTTTCTCATCAAATCATGGAGCGATATCTACCTCATGACTAAATGCTAACTAACATAGAAACTGGTAGAATAATTTTCTAAGTGATGTAAACGATTCAGGAAAATGTTTTGGAAAGAAATTACTGGGTGGCTATATAGAAAGTGGGATGTGGCAAAACCATGCTTACTGGGTTTAGCAAATCCTCTTCCTTTGTAAGGCGGTCAGGAAGCTGAAATAAAAAGGAAGAAACAATGTAAACAATGACCTTCTCTAAATTGTGCTTTTAATGTTGTGACCTGGGGGTTTTAATTTGCTGTAAGAAAACATAAAGTTTCCTATTATTATATTCATATTTTCTTCTAATACTGAGATTTATGAAACTGATTTTTCTTTCCTTTTTACATTAGCTGCTAGAATTGAAAACCTAAACTGAACCAGAAATACACCTGATCTTTGTGAAAGTTTGTTTTTTCCATCTCTTCCTTGGATTTAATTATATAGCTCAGGTTCTTTTTTTCATTGTTGTTGTTGGTACTGGGTACTGGAGTTTGAACTCAGGGCCTTAAGCTCAAACAAGTACTTTACCACCAGAGCCATGTCCCCAGCCTTTTTTTCTTTTATTTTTTTGGCTTTAGTTATTTTTCAGATAGGGTCTCACATTTTTCCAGGGACTGGTCTCAGACCACGGTCCTCCTACCTATAGCCTTGCACATAGGTGGGATTACAGGAACGCACCACCGTGCCTGGCTTATAGATTGAAAGGGAAGGGGAGAAATGACCCAAACATGTTATGCACATATGAATAAAAGAAATTAAAAAAAATAAAGCTTATTAATTGTTAAGGAAAAAAAAAGAAAAAAAAAAGGGGGAGGTCTCACTAACTTTTTGCCCAGGCTGGCCTCGAACTGCAAGTCCTTCCCAATCCTGATCTCCCTCTTCCTGAATAACTGGGATTACAGGTGTGTAAAATCACGACTGGTTTTTTAATTGTATGCATACTTTTACTGAAAGCCATCTTTTCAAGTAATAGTTATATAATTAATTCTTCAAAAGTCAAAGGTTTTGTTCCATGTAATGAAATTTTAGATTATATAGTTAAGCCACAATTTGTGCCTCTGGGTAAGAATATATGCAAAAACAATTAATTTGATGTAACACAATGAAAGAATAGCAAGATAAAAGACGCTATAATATTTTGATGATACATGACAAAACATTAGCTTCAAGTGTTGAGGGAAAAATGAGTCTTTTAAAAAATTACTAAGACATTTTGGTATGTTACAGAGGAAGAGAATTAAACCCACTTAAATTAAAATAATTTGCCTTATTCTTTCGCACACACCAGATAACATATTTGTTGGCTGAGAAGCATCTCTGCTTTCATTCTACTGCTCAGATTTGATTACAAAAGATACTTAAATCTGTAGCCAAAGGTAGTCTTTTTTTAATGCACATTTACTTAATATTGGAGGAAGTGTCACTCAAGTTTAAAGGACATAGTATGCATATTAACTTTTTTGCATGAAGTCATAATCTAAAGGTGAGAGAAGAGGGCTGCAAGCAAATCTAGTATTTGTTGCACAAGGCTTAACCATCTACTTGTGCACTGGGCACAGACTTGGCTTCACATTACCTGAAGGATTGGAAAAATCCAACATGCTGGTGGTAGGCTGTAGGAGATCAGGGCTGCTGGATGAGAGTGTTCCAGGAATAGGCATTATAGCCAGGCTGTGTCGACAATGCCTTGTTCCCACAATGCTATCATCTTGTGATTGGCTGAGGCCTCCATCACTTCAAAAGAATGCCATACATCACTTGAAAGTATCTGAAGGTACTTAAACAGTAAACAATTCTATGTGCATCAGTGCATAACAAAACCAATTCACAGTGGTGACTTAACTGGATTGAACTATTGTAGCAACTTAAAAATAGGAAAATTGTACTAGGAAAATAGCAGTAAGATGTTTTGTAAATAAAATTTACAGACCTAACTAATCCTACTAATTATAAAAAAGCAGTCATATTTGCTTTCTACTGGTTTTGGTAGAGAAATTCATCCTGAATGCTTAGAGGAACCCTTGAAATTTGCCAGCTTCAGATTTCAAACATACATATCCAGCTATGCATAGCCCCACCATAGAAGGTGATCCTCCCTCCCTTCTACCTCTCCTGCCTCTCTCCCTCTCTTCAAACACATAGAATCAGAACAGAAGGCGACTTGGTAAAAGTTAGTTCCCTTTAAGGTTTCAAAAACAAGTATCAATTAAATGGCCATAATTAAGCATAATTAAGCAAACAAAAAACTCTTCATTTAAAACATTCTAGAAGTGTCACAGACAACTCTAAATTCACATGAAAGAAAACAATGAAAATACAAACACAATGCTGTTACTTAAGTTTTACATATCCCAACACATTCGTTCAATTTTAAGCAAAACAGCTCTACAAAAACACAAGATTTCTGTCAGCATAAAACACTAGTTCTCTAAGAGTTGTATTTACATTGAAGCGATACTTTCCTCAACATTAATTCCCTTAATATTCCTATTTTATTCGATGCAATATCCTGCCCAGTATTTGTTACACATACACAAATAGAGGTATCACAGAATACTTACCTATTATCATGGAAGGGATTAAGCTACAGTAGTAAATGGGTGAAATGGGGTATACTTAGAATAAGTTAGAGCAAAATACAGGATTTTGGCAGATTAGGAAATGAAGCAAGATGAAGAGCAAAGGTTGGTTAAATAAAAAGCTAAAGGACTATTAATAGCCAGACAAGAAAGACAGGGCCAGGACCAGAGAGAGCTGAAGAGTCAGGCAAAGTATGAAGACACAAAAGAAAGCAAAGATTTATGTTTCAAGGGCAAACTTTGATTTCAGACAGACCTAGGATAGTAGCTGTTTGACCTCAGGCAAATTTCTTTCTCTAACAGGATCTAGGTTCCCTTTATCCATAAGTGTAAATAATACCTTCTGTACCCCAAGACTACTGTAAGGAGTTAAATTAGGTAAAGTAGGTGAATATTTTGGCAAAGATGAAAATGGGATTTCTATTTTTTTTTTAAGAAGAGTAAAGTACTAAAATTAAAATGAGAACAGTACAAACACAGAAAGGAGAAGTATTCATTTTAATTAATTCATAGTGAAAAGTAGAGGGGACAGTATAGGTACAACGATAAAGGTACCACACCAGGACAATTTATTTCTAGGGAGAAAAGGCAGACTGATCTGACAGATCAGGCAAAGGAACCACCTTATTAAAGAAGTAATTTCTGCTTATAGTAAACTAGCTCCTTATAATTAGCATTGCATTCCTGACTATCAGAGTTAAATGTTTTAAAGTTAGCTAAAAGGAAGGAAAAAAGGAGGGTTTTCACAGATATTTAAATTATGTACAACATAAAGTGTTTTTTTTTTTTTAAGTATTTCTTTAATCGATTTTTTTTTTTTAAACAAACCTACCAATTTTTGGATACAGACAGGTAGCTGAAACCAAGGAAGCAAGCTGTTAAAGAGATGAGTCAGCCTTACTAATAAAGTAGAAGAAACTTTGAGAAAATTAAATTAGGATTTTCTGTCAAAGGGAGTTAGTTGCATAAACTGCAGCAAGTTGGTACTGTCGAGGTTAAGAGAAGTACATTGAGTATCCAAGTCTGTACAGCTCTTACCGATGCCACTTAATCAATATTTGCAGTGTTATGCCGCTGGCTGTAACTTACAGTAACTAAGGCGTGAGCATGTGTAAGTTAAGACTGTCTGTATGTACACCCATGCTGCGACAGGAACAAAATAGTACTTAGAATTAGCAAAATATCCATGCTTGAAGCTGAACTGATAAAGCCTACTTGGCAAATAATGATGTCATTTCTTACCAAAACAGTCTCCTGAGAGGTGATGCAATAACAGAAATGAGACAGTGTTGAAAAATTCCTTAATAATTCCCTGGCACTAAATTTGTCTAGGTTTTTTTTTTTTTTTTTTGAGGTACTAGGATTTTGAACTCAGGACTGTGCTCTTGTTATGCTGGCACTCTGCAATTTGAGCCAATCTGCCATCACTGAATTCTTATTTAGAATAAAAGAACTTCATTTCATTGTGAAACAAAAAAAGGTCGCAAAATAGCATCACTATGTACTTGAAAAATAATCCGGACATTAAATGCAAACAAAAAAAGAATATGCACTAGAAATTTGGAGGAAAAAGTAATTCCTGATAAGTGAAACAGGCTACTACTGGGAATGTTGCAATATATTTAGGAATTGTGTTTAAAGAAATAAAAAGAGTAGAAGCAAAACTTACCTGTAAAATCACACTTTACACAAAAATAACATTTAACATCTTCCTAGTCATTTTCTGTGGTGTACAATATAATTTACTTAACTAATGTCTGGTACTTAGACTTTTAGGGTATTTACAATTTTTACTACAGATATACAACTAAGAACATCTGTACATAAATCTTCATCTTATTACTATTAGAAATGGAACTACTGAAGCAAAGGATATGGTCTTTTTTTTTATGGACTGGGGTTTGAACACAGGGCCTACACCTTTAGTCTACCAGTCCTTTTTTGTGATGGATTTTTTTGAGATAGGGTCTCATGAACTATTTGCCTGGGCTGGCTTTGAACCATGCCATGACTAGCTAGGATTACAGGTGTGAGCCACCAGCACCCAGCATCATTTTAAGGCTCTGAATAAAAAAAATTATAAAAATGTTTTCTAGACAGTTCTAACAGTGGTGTATGCCTATAGTCCCAGCTTCTCAGAGACTGAAGTAGAAGGATCATTTGAGCACCAGGATTTTAAGGCCAGCCTGGGCAACAGAGTAAGTCTTCATTCAAAAAAAAAAAAAAAAACAGAAAAGGGAAAGGAAGAAAAAGAAAAGCCAGGTGTATAATAAGTCATTTTAAACTCTGTATTTTAGAGTAACTGCAATATGGATCATTTGAATATCATGTTCTCTGTTCATGTTTCTATAAAAGTTTGAGGGTTTGAAAAAAAGAAAAAGAAAAGCCAGGTTTATAATTCACCATTTTAAACTGTGTATTTTAGAGTAATTGCAATATGGATCATTTGAATATGTTCTCTGTTTATGTTTCTATAGAAGTTTGAGGGTTTTTTCCTAATTGATTTTCTGGGACTCTTTATATAAAGGTCTCACTATGTAGCCCAGGCAGCCATCAACTTGAGACACTCCTCCCTCTGTCCCTGGAGTTCTAGGATTATGGGCATGCACCATCATGTCTCTCTGTGTAGCAAAAGGAAATGTGTTGCTAAAATGACTACCATTTTACTTCATTGAAACATGTCTGGAAGTTTACATGAACTTCTAAAGTGCAGCATTTTAATTCATGTTTGTATTTATAGTCCACAGCTTCCTTGTTGGCACAAAGCAAAAGACTCAATAAATGCTTACTGATTAGCAAATGAAAAAATTAAAAAATCCGTCTGAATTTTTTGCGTTTTCTGCTAGATAGACCTTCCTTCCTTCCCTCTCTTGTTCCCTTCCTCACTCTTTCCCTCCTTCAACTATTGAAAAAGAACTGAGAATTGTACATATGCTTTATTCAGATATGCTTGCTTTCTCTCATTGATTTATTGATTATCTTAACTTATTCAACAAGTATTAATTGAGTGGCTACTATGTGCTAACCACTGCACTTGATTAGAAAATTTGTTACTGCTTATATAAGGAAGCTGGTAATAAAAAATACACACAGATATAATATATACTTGAGTCAATCCTAATCATGATACTTTAGTGGAATGATTTAATCAATTATTTTCAGACTTAATTTACACTTAAAATCTTCAGGTTATTACTCAGTTGGGTGATATACCATTTTTAAATAGAAAATAGCTACTGAATAAGATGGGTGTAGTATTGCATACCTGCAATCCCAGCACTAGGGAGGCCAAGGCAGGAGGATCACCAGTTCAAGGCCAGACTGGGTTACATCAGTAAGTGTCTCAAATGCAAAGCAAAACAAATAAATAAACAAAAATTGGGAGAAAAAAACTGTACCACAAGGGAAAGATGACTTTTAAAAATAAAAAAGCTAACCCCGGTGCTGTCAAAAACAAAACAAAGCAAAACAAAAAAACAACAACAAAACTGGCAGAGTGACTGTGTCACAAGATTCATTTGTCAAAATCTGTTGATGAAGGAATTTGAAATTGGATTCAAATTTGTAAAAATAGGTTTCATAATATAAAACAAACTGTCTTTTCTAAAAATAATGTGAACTAATGCTAACAGAAGATATCAAACAGTGGAGACTTCACAGAATGGATGAGAGAAATTTAGAATTTATTTTCTGATTTAGTGTTAGCTGTATAAAAAACAAGTGCCTCAAATCTTCTTGCCCCACAGTAAACAAGGAGTTGACACGAAAGCTCCTACATGACTGAGATTGACATTACCTACCTGAACAGTTTTTGGAGGCAGGATACTAATCGTGTTTTATCCAAAATTTTCCTGATTTTGTTTCTTCCACCTGAAACGGTATTTGCTTTAATTTTCTTATTTCCTTTATCCTGTGATGTCTGTTCAATGTCTCCTGGTACATCTTGGATTGAATGGCGATTACTTTTTTTTTCAGCAATTTTGGGAATATGAGGAACCCAGACTTCTCTTGTTCAGTTCTACTAAGTAATCTTTGAACACTGTGGAAATAAAGAAATTTGTGTCATTTTTCCTCTCATTTGAAAGAAGATTTTACACCAACAAATTTTAAGGATAAAAGCAATCATTTTCTTTTCTTTGACCTTGTACAGGACCACTCAATTAAACATTATCGAGTTCACACCCATCCCTTACTTAGCTACACCTACTTCTTTCTTGAGTTTTTATGCCTGGCCATGTTTCTGATGCTGCTCCACAGGCTGCAGCATGACAGAAACACACACACACAGGTTACTATGCAGGTGATAAACAACAACACTGTAATCAAATGATTTATAGAAACTCATTTAGATTCTGGTGAAATGTAAAATGGTGGATGCATATCTGCAGGACACAGTTGAAGGCATTCAGATACATGAACTGCAGAATCAAACACTTGGCACATCATAGGTGTAGCTTTGAGCAATGTACTCTGCACCTTTAAAAAAGAAAACCCATAAATTTGCCTGCTGAAACCTCAACCACAAAGGATGATTTTTTTCTGTTGTTTTGGAGACAAAAGGAAGCAAGAGTTTCCTACAAGATCAAAGACAAGAAAGAGGAAAATGAAGAAAACCTGAAGAATTGACATATAACATTTTAGCAGCTTGGTATTAAGTTGGGTAAAATGTGTCCTGTTTTGAGTTTCTTTTCTCTCTCTCTCTCGTTCTCTCTCTCACACATACACACACGTACACAGATGACTTGGGATCAAACAGGGCCTCATAAAGTTCTATCACAGAGCCATACCCCTTGCCCTAGGGTTTCTTTTTTTTCTTATTAACACACATTATTGTACATACTAATTGGGCTCAGTTTATTTCTTTTCTTTTTCCTTCCTTTCAGTACAGAGACTTGAAATCAGGGCCTTGTGCTTGCTAGGCAGGTGCTCTACCACATGAGCCACTCCACCAGTTATTTTTGAGACACAGTCTTGCTTTAAATCCTGGACAGTCATCTTCCTATTTGTGCTTCCCCATAGCTGGGATGACAGGTGCACATCACCATGCCCAGGCATTGGTTGAGACGGCGGTCTCCCTAACTTTTTGCTTGGGCAGGCCTTGATTTCTACCACCAGAGAACCTGGGCTAACAGGCTTGATCCACATAGTCTCAGTATTTCCATACATGCATAAAGCATGCATCCATTCTATCTGCAACTATCACTGCTCCCACCCTTCTCAGTCATTACTTTCAGGTTGACTTTTCTTAAGGTTACATATAAGGGAAAACATGCCATACTTGTCTTTCTGTATCTTGCTTATTCCCCATAATATGATACTTATGTTTGCTGTGAATGACAGGACTTAACTTTTATTTATGGCTGGGTAACGCTCTATTGTGTGTCTACAGTTTTGTTTTTGTTTTAGTGGTACTGGGGATTGAACTCAGGGCCACATGCTTGCTAGGCAAGTGCTCTACCAACTTGAGTGATGCTCCAGTCAGTCCTTTTGCTTATTTTTGGTTTGTTTTTCAGATAGTGTTTTGCACTAAGGCTCAAGCTGGCCTGGGACCATGACTGTTATACCTCTGCCTCCCAAGTAGCTGGGATTTCAGGCTGCACCAACGTGCTTGCTCCTCTTCCCCCATTTTGTTTATCTCTTATCATTAAGGTGGAGTCCACATTTTAGCTGTGGTGAACAATGCAGCAATAAACCAGCATGCAGATAGCTCTTCTGAAAGCTGAGATAATTTCCTTTGGCTAGATACCCAGGAGTGAGATAACACCATCATATGATACTTCGTTTTTAGTTTTTTGAGGAACCTCCATACTGTTTTCCATGGTGGCTGTACTAATTTACATTACTTCCAACAGTGTTAAGAGTTCCCTTTTCTCCACCTCCTCATCAGCATTTGTTTTATTTTGCTTTTTTGATAACAATCATTCTGACTGGTGCAGGATGATACCTCTTTGTGGTTTTGATTTGCATTTCCCTGATGGATGATATTATCCATCCATCCACTGCTTCTATTTTTTGGTCACTTGTATTTTTCTTTTTTTTGGAGATGTGCCTATTTGGATCATTTGCACATTTTTAATTGGGTTACTTATTTTTTTTTAACTAAGATTTTTGGTTCTTTATATATTCTGTATATTAACCCTCTGTAAGATGAATAGCTGGCAAATATTTACTTCCATTCTGTAGGGGGGTTCCAACCAGAAAGATGACATCACATTGCCAAAGCATGATGCTAGCTATGAAAAACATAAGTTTTGTCTTCAAAATAATAGAGAGCTTTAGGAGTCATCTTTTAAAGATACTCTGCTTATTTAAAATATAGTAAGTTCCTATTAGTTTTTTGGTGGGCATGGGGGTGGGACTGGGGATTTGAACTCAGGGCTCTGTGCTTGCAAACAGGTACTCTACTGCTTGAGCCACACTTCCAGTACAGTTTTGCTCTGGTTATTTTGGGGCTGAGGTCTCTTGAACTATTTGTCCAGTTTGGCCTTGAACCTCAATCTTCCCAATTTCAGCCTCCCAAGTAGCTAGGATTAGAGGCACAAGTCATTGGTACCCAGCTCAGCTGCTGTTTTTAAAAATTCACATTATTTAATTTTCTGGTGGTACTAGAGTTTGAATTCAGGGCTCTGGGCTTGCAAGGCAGGCACTGTACCACTTGGGCCATGCCTCTAGTAAAAAATCTCACTTTATTTTAAACCACATGGTAAAAGAAAAAAATTTTTTTTCAAGCTAAAGTCGATACTCACCCACTTAAAAAATATTTACTGACCCATGTATGTTAGGTACTGTACCAGATGTCTGCATATTCCTGCAGTAGTGGAACATGCAGTCAGATAAGATTCTTGATACAGAAAGAACATAACCAGAAAATGAGATAATAGGAAAGAAGCAATCTTCCTTAAGTCAGTCACTTTGTAGGAAAAAATAAAGGGCTCTGAATGTGGCTCAAATGGTAGAGCACTTGCTTAGTAAGCACAAGGCCCTGAGATCAACCTCCGGCACTGAAAAGAACAAAATAAAAAATGATGAGTAGATTTTAACCATGGAAGGGGGAAATGATACTAAGTAGGGAAAATCTCAAGTTCAAAGTCCCTGTGGTAGAAGGAAAGTCCAAGAAAATGAAAATGACTATGGGAGAGAGGAAGCCAGGTATCTGAAGTTTCTGTTAAGAGAATATGAAATCTTTGAAAGGGCAGATTTACCTGCCTGCAGCATGTAGGTAAGATGACTCAATAGTTTAAAAAATGGTTTATACCATAGCAGGGTGTGGTGGCGCACACTTGTAATCCCAGCACTTCGCAGGCTGACAGATCACAAGTTCAAGGCCAGCTTGGGCTACATCATGAGACTGCACCCCACTGAAAGAAGAAAAAAGTTTGTAATGTGATTGGGTTTGTGTGCATAAGTAAAAATCTGTGGACCTTCTGTAATATGATTGGTTGAATCAAAACAAGTTAAAAGACAAAAATTAGGGGGTTGTGAGCAAATGTAATTATGATGCTATTAAATAGTAATATCAGATATGTGAATCAGAAATGAAGGTGTTCATGAATCCGTAAAAGTTTAATGAATTCTATGGCATGAAAACCAAAAATGTTTCCATGTGTACATAACATGCATAAATGCACACACTAAATAATTAGAAGCAAAAAACACCCAACTTGGGGAAATATTTGCAGCCTTTATAAGGTGCTTAAACAAATCAATAAAAGACGAACATAAAAATGGACAGATGCAATTGAACAATTCAGAGAAATATCAAGACATACAAAAATGAGCTAAATTGTACTCATTATTAAATAACATGCATTAATAATTAAAGAGATGATTATACTTATTGCAGAGGCCTAATTATACACTTAATGAAGTAGAATTTGGGATAAGCTTTCAGAAAATAAAACCCTGTAGTATTTATCAAAAGTAATTCCATTTTGAAAAATTTATTTTATTTTTGTATAAGCAAAAAAGACTACTGAAGATTTTTATTATATAATTGCTAATATAAAAAATTAGAGATGATTTAAAAAGCCCATCAATATGACAGGATTAGTTACATAGGATATTAGAAGGTATCCAGGGTTGGGGATGTGGCTCAGTGTATGTAGCATGTGCAAGGCCTTAGATTTGATCACTAACAATAACAAAAAAGAGTACTTGTTGAGCATGGTGGTACACACTTATAATCCCAGCACTTGGGAGGATGAGGCAGGAGGATCCCAAGTTGGAGGCTAGCCTGGGTGATCTCTTGAGACCCTATCTCCAAAGGAAAAAAAAAAAAAAAAAGAAAAAAGACGTAGAAAAATGGATTGTAAGAGACATGTGGGACATAAATCTTTTTTTTTTCTTTTCTTTGGTATGGAGAGGTATTTGGGTTTTAATTCAGGCTTCTGGGTTGCCAGGCAGACAATGTGAGCCACCTCCAGCCCTTTTTGCTTTGGTTATTTTGGAGACAGGGTCTCACTTTTTGCCCAGGTCAGCCTGGACCACAATACTTGATTTTTACCTCCCAAGTATCTGGGATTTCAGGCATGAGCCACTGGTGTCTGGCATGGGACACCAATCTTTGAAGATGTAAGTTACTCACCACCCACTAGGAAAAGACACAGAAAGGGGATTAAAGACACTATATGAAGTGATAATGGTCATGAAATTTCTAAAACTGATGAAAGACATGAATATACAAAATTAAAAGATCACTAAATCAAAACCGTAGTTTCTGTTATTATTTCCTAATTACTTTCTTCCCCACATTTTCTTTTGGATCTACCAGAATAGTACTCACTTTTGCCTTTTTGTTACACAGTCTGGGAGATTTCTATTCTATTACTGATTTCGTCTATTGAACACTTGATTACTACTACTATATTTTATGTGACTCTATTCTTTGCTTTTAAGTTCCATGCGAAATAACCTAACTGCTTAACTCTACTTCATGATAATGCAGAAGGACTAGGGCTTTCTTGTGGAGTTCTACAAATATCTCGTGAGACACCACCT